AAACAAGTCCAAGAGACTCTTATCTGAATCTGATGTTTCCTGACCAGCTCCAGTCTGACAGTCTGACAGTCTGACGTAACGACACAAACACAATGGATTTACTGACACAGATACAACCTCAGAGCCAGGATGGGACTAACAAACTCAAACGAGGTTCAGTTAAAGGAAAACTCGTCTGCTTTCAGCTTCAGAGACTCAGCTAATCCTGTGAATACACCACAAACCTCCACCTGTTATCCTCTTTACCAACAGAAACACTCAGGAAAGCAAACAGGTGAATCTGAAGCAGCTAAACTCACCAATGACACACTAATACATCACAGTTCAGGTGACCTTGTGTTTCACTCTATTTGGGATTCCCAAAAGGTTGATTGTTTTCATCTGGACGTGATGTTTTCAGTGAGAGAAACATTTCATCACTCATCCAGGTGACTTCTTCAGTCTCAGCTGAATGAAACGTTTCTTCAGATGTAATTTACAAAGGTCAACGTGTGAATCTCGCAGGTCAAGCAGTTAGAAAGAGAACATCCGATGAGCTCATCCAGCATGAAGCAGTGGAAAGAGGACGTTTCAAAACACACCTAATTCTCAACCATCATGATGCGTACCAACTACCCTTAAACATGAAGAAAAAACAACAAAGATGAGACCATTTCTCATCTAAATGTTTAGGCTACGTTCTGATTGGCTGTAATTTGCAAAGGTCAACGTGTGACAGGAAACAAGGCTCACAAACGGCTTGTAACAAACTTTAGCTTCCATTCATGATCAGATTCACGAGATCAGTCCCAAATGAAACCACGTCAAACATCAGAGACTATCAGCAACCTCCAACCATCAACACACAAAACAGGGTATAAAGAGACCTAAAGGAGAACTGTACTGAACCATGAAACCTTTGAGAGTAACAAAGGCAGATGAATCATTCTCACTTCCTCCCAATGCTATACACAGAGAGGGCCTCGTTATTAGCAGTCTGATAACAATCTGAAAGAACGAGCGAAGCAGAATCTTGTGTGACCTTTCAGAACTCTTACTGATAGGAAGCTGTAACCACCTGATTAAAAAGTGGCTTTGCAAAAAATAGAAATCTTATTTTATTAAGGGTCAGTTAACCCAGATCACAAACAGACACACAACAACACCCCAGCGTGTTTGGATCTGCTCTCTCTGACACTCGTCCCCTGGGCTCGGAGTGACGTCAGCTGCACTGATGGCTGTTTGTTTGTCTTCTTTTCTCCTTTTGTTTGAGCTGAGCTAGTTTCATTACTGCAGCACGGATTTGAAACTCCACCCAACAAAAAGTCCCCCAACAGCCCAGCCGGATCTCTGACTTTCCCCTCACGTTCACTGTTTTTGTGCAGACCGATGATCTGTAGGTCAAAGGGCAGGCTGCTGTTTCCACGCTCCACCTGTTCTTACTTGCAGGTGAGACTCCATGAAAGGGAAATCAGCACCGCAGAGTTCTTTAAATATGTCAATGTCACAGATTTAAAGAAAGTTGTCACAGGTTCTTCTTGGTCATTCGCCTGTTTCAATCACATTCACCCTTCAGGCAAACAGACACAGGGCTCAGGAATATAAAACGGTAACCAAAGGAATGTGCTGTTCATAATAATTTAGCGGGTTAAGATAACAGGACTGGTCATCAGTGTCAAATTGTCCCATTATTCAGGCTGATTGATCAGTTTGCATATTTATTTGAAGGATGGAGACCGTCTGCCTCCCCTCACAGGAAGCCAACATGAAACACATCTGAGGGTCAAAGCAGGAGCAAGAAACACCTCCTCTGAGCGCCGGACTTTCCAGGAAATCACTTCACATCAACTAAATCACAGCTGCGTGTGCAGAAAGACTGAAAACACTGAAGCCATCATTAAAAATATGATGTCTGTTACTCTGTTTTTATTTACTGAGTGCAGCTGGCACTGTAATATGCTGTAACTACAAGAGTGACGTCATTATCACTCGTGATCTTTTTGGCACATTATAAAACAACAAGTTATTTATGATGAATTCAATTCCAGCAGTCATTTTTTGGTAAATACCGGAAATCCCTTTTTGACTTTTTGGCACAGCACCGGCTATCGGAGTGCGTCAAAGTGTGTCTGTGTTCACCTGCTGCAGGTGAGACAAACCCTGACTGTGGCCCGCGGATAGTTCACAGAAGAAAGAAAGCGAAGGAGGAAAATTTGAAACAAAGATCACACACAGACACCGTCAGAAGGACAGACAACTCACCGTACACGGAGACAATCATGATGTTTATGCTGGGAGAAATCATCTTGTTCGCACCTTCTTGGCGGGTAAAAGCACCGAGCACTGAGCCACGGGGCGTGTCTGTTTGCTTTTACGTCGGAAAGCCCCGCCCTTCATTGCTTCTCCCCACCCTCCCTTTTTTGACGCCATCTGTCGGTGGTCGCTATCATTACACTACTTTAACGTCTCACAAACATAATAATAATAATAATAATAATAATAATAATAAGTTTAGACCTTTTCTGGGGGTCCTCTAAATTCCATCATAGCATTCTTTAAATATCTCCAGTAATCCTAATAATAATAATACTACCCTAATGTCAAATTTAGCCAACTTTTCTTTTGGAGATGGTAAATGAATGAAAACAGGCTTAAACACGCAGAGTTCTTCATGTCAGAATGTCACAGTGCACTCGTTAATACAGACTAGAGCAAATTCTCATGCTGGAATATCACGAGTTATCAGCCCAGGAGCTGATGAGCATTAGTGACAGAACCAGGGTTTTCTTTCTACATGAATTTAAAACCGTTACCTATCAGCAGCAGCTCCCAGTCAATTACAATGTTGTAATAATTTCTGCTACACTATTACATTTACCATTTGTGTGACAGCACAGAGCTTGAGAGGTAAGAGTGGACATGTAGTCAGAAGCACAGTTATAATGCCAAGGTACCTTGTGCTTTGCCCACATTCACCGATGGTGATCATTTCACATAACAAAGCAGCAATTTGCACCGTTATCAAATGTGGATCTCCAACCTGCTCTAATAATAACTCAGATTATTTTTGTTATTATCATTTTTGTGTGATTGTTAGAGCAAAGAATGAGTGAGGAGGATGCAGAGATCATACAAAAGTGGGAAGACCAAGTGAGCAAATTTGCAGGTAGGAAAGAAAAACCATAACTGTCTGGGTAATTTAAAAAAAAATTAGATTAACACCCATTTCACGGATGCTTTGTGTATTTTCCAAAACTTAAATTTATAGTGGACATTCTAAATAGTATTGATATGAACTGATATGCATTTAACAGAACTGACAGGACTATAAACATGCATGAACAGGAAGGATCCTTCTGATCTTTGCTGTGTCTGCACGCCCACATTACCTGGTAATGGTCATCGTTTAAAAGGTGCTGCTCAGTAACCAAACATCGTTGTGTTATTTTGTCCTAAATATGCAAATCTGTCTCATCTTTGATCAGCTCACAAAGCTTGACTACTGGATGCTTGTGTTTACCCTCAGAGTGACTTATATGACCTAAAATTAATAAACAGAATTTAAGAGGAGGGAGTGGAGGACACGATAGAAACAGACCTATTAGTGAACCAGGCTGGAATAAGCTGAGTGTTGCTCCTGTTTCTTTCAGTCTGAAACACATGTGTTGGGGTAAGTTTAATGCACTCAGAGCTGATCAGTGTCTTTAAACTGAGCTGCAGATGAGACAAACAACATTACAAAACAATGTTGTGATAAAAAATAAATGGATTCAATGAAACTCACTGATTATATTGGTCATTGTTGGACTCTAAAGTATTTAACATATATATCAATGATGTGTATTGTGTCCAAAGTAGTAACAAATTATACTTTTTCCATTATACTAATATTTTTTGTTCCCAAATTTATTGGATGAGATGAATACTAAAATGAATAACTGTCATAACTGTGGAGCGGTGAGGAGTGTGGACCTAAACGCAGGCACTAATGATTAACTGTGAGTGAGTTTTATTTTTACTGGAAAGAGAAATGCAAACAAAAGCAGAGCATGGAAGTGACTTAAACTAACAAAACCTAAACTGGGAGGAGCTACAAAAGAATAATACAAAGGAACAAAAAGCCTGTGACTAGAAACCTGAGACAGTGAGGAGAAACATGGAACCTGGAATGTGGAGAAATACAACAGGAGACATGCAGTAGAAATGCATGCACAGACATTGACAGAGTGACACAGAACTAAGACTAAACATACAACATACGGAGACAAATAAGGAGAATGGAACTTAACCTTCACTAGAGTCATGACACCATGAACACAGGCGAGGCACAGAAACAGAACAGAAACCTCAACCAGGAACTATAAATATAATACAGAAAACAATAATTCAAAGAGTATAACTTAAACCAAAAAACACTGGCTCACAGACCCAGTACCACGACAATAACATGACGCTTTAGTTTGATTGATGAGCTTTCTTGGGATAATAACAGATGAGAGACTTAGCTGAAAAACACTTGTTAATGAGGTATTCATCCCAAAATATCGAGAAGCATTCCAATACTGTCAAAGGAAGCTAACAGCAGTGGCTAATATATCCTTTACACCACCTTATTAGAATAACGGTGGTGTAAAGGAAACAAACAGTCAACCTTAAATACAGGAAACGGATCACTGTAGGTCAAAGACACAAGACCACAGGAGTGGTTTGCTCAGGAGCCACACTCCAATGTAATTTACTTTCCATTCCAGTAGGTGGCGCATCACTACACAACATGTAAGGTGGAGCTGAACAACAAGAAAACACTTGTATAGAATTGTATAACATAAAAAACAGCTGTGATCAGTTTTTTATGATATCTTAATCATCTTATAGTACCATATCACCCCATTAGAGCACTTCACTGTCACACTGCAGGCTTACTTGTTGCTCCTAGAGTATTTAAAAGTAGAATGGGAGGGAGAGCCTTCAGTTTTCAGGGGAACCAGCTTCCAGTTTAGATTCAGGAGACAGACGCTGTCTCTACTTATAAGATTAGGCTTTAAACTTTCCTTTTCGCTAAAGCATATAGCTAGTTTTGGATCAGGTGACCCTGAATCCTCCGCTTGCTGGGGAATTCCCATGATGCATTGAATGTTTCTTCTTCACTCTGTGT